GAGATGAGACGAGACTTTTTAATAATTACAATTCTATATTAGTAACTTAACTAGTAACTTCGTCCCTAGGTAGGTATTGGTTTTTTAGTGGAACCTTAGTACTTTTTGTAAAATAAAAGTAGCCTTTATTACTTCTGATAACATCAGCTATCTGCCAATAAAAGTCCCGTCAAAATCAGTCTAGCCGTTTCCGAGATTAGCCGGAACAAACAGATAGACAGACAAAAATTTTAAAAATTGTGTTTTTTTATAAGAATTTCATATGAATTTAGTAAAAAGTTTTTAATAATATAAATCTTACTTATTTTTCATTTTCCATTATTATCTATGTTTATATTATGTTATTTTTATAGATTTTACGGAATTGCTATTTAATTTCATTTTTTTTGCGTGATATGTAAAAGTTTTGTTGTCCCCATTTTTATTAATTTAAGTTTAGTTTTTAAGCAGTTAAGTTAAAGTTCTACTGTATGCGAATCACATTGCTAGTGGCTTATTAAGAAAAATAGTTACTACTTTTTGCCCGCGGCTTCGCTCGCGTGGTAAACAGGCGAGGATCAAAGCCAGCCTATCTCTGTCCCCAAGATGCAATTTTAGTATATGCCAAATTTAATCAAAATCTGTTCAGCGGTTTCAGAGTGAAAAGGTACTTTTACATTTATAATGTTAGAATTGATGTGTACACGGCCTTATACCGACAGCTATGTAATGAGCGGAACAAATAATATTGAACACAATGACGGCTAATAAGACCAATAAGTACTGATTCCTGTATTAAGCAAACACGGTATGTGGTAATAAAGCTGTGTAATGTTTTCATACAAATTACTACTTGCCAATATCATAAACTGAAAAACTCCCATTTAAGTTAGTAAGTTAGTAATCTATTAGATAGTTATTTGGACGTTTTAATCAGTATATAAATTATTAATATTAATATAATATATGCACATTCATCATCATACAATTTACTCTGTAACTATTGAATTGGAAAAACATATTAAATAGAAATAATTATTAAACTTTTCTTATAATAATTAATCTAGGAAATTGTACAACACAAACAATGTACGAAAAACTAAGTTATATAGGTATACAGAACAAATGTAGAACTCATGATGTATAATATTCGTTTTTGAAAAAGTATAGACACCTGCTATGGAGATGTGAAGGTGAAATGTAAAGTCAGCCACCAGTGCCGGATTTAACCTTAGCGCCGCCCCTGGGCGTAGTAAAAAATGCCGCCATATTTTGTGAAAAATGCGAAGAAATAAAAACTTTTTAACAAAAAAATAAAAACCGACTTCAAACAAAAGCACTAAAAAGTAAAAAATAACTGATTGGTAGTTTTCATTTACTATACATACCTAATCAAATATTTTCGAAGTCGGTGTGCTTTGGCTAAGTAATTTAAGCCTACCTATTAAATACATACCTAATCAAATATTTTCGAAATCGGTGCCAGCCCATACAAAGCAAATTGTGGGTAAATTCATAGTAAAATAAGTAGATATTTAAATTATTATTAAATTTTAATTAATATTAAATAATTATTTTTACATTTTCGAGTACTTACCTTCTATTTTTTACTATCAAATATTATATTGGTTATAGACTGCCAACGAATACTTACATATTTACAATTTTATTGGAAATATAAACATTTTTATTTTTTCCTACATATTTACAATCTTATTGTAAATAAAAACATTTTATTTTATTCGTATATTACCTATATTATAGAATATTAAGGGAGATTTTTTTAAAAGTGTCAACACATCAGTTACGCACACATACTTAAAAAAATGGTTACACTTTCTGTCCTAAATGCGTTATCTAGGTTTTTTTACTTGATCTGAGTACATATCACATAAGTATTTTATTAATAAATTTTGTATACTATATTAAAATAATATTGTTAGGTGTCATGTTTAATTCTATGACAATATCTATATTATTCGTTAGTCTGAGATTAGCATGATGCAATTATTATAATAGAAAACCGCATCGTTAAACCGTAACTCAACGTATTTTACTTAGAGAAAAGTGGAAGACAAAGTATTAAATTACTATTACATAAGTATACTCTAAAATTTCTCGGAAATTATATCGTTAAGTTGTATACGGTTCATATTACTTGGATGTACTCGAGGGAAACGGGTTTATTTACCCCTTTCATCCACAAAAAGCTAAATGAACGTATTTGATGTCTTTGATATTTGAGACGTAATAGGTCGAACGTGATTTCTTTACTATGATTTGTCAAACTTTTAATAAAAGGTTACCAAATGGTAAAGTTTGATTTTATTAACCGACGAAAGAAAGGAGGAGGTTCTCAATCCGAAACGTTTTTTTTTATATATATAATAGATAGGGGATGATTGATTTTTCACCTACTGTATTCTTAAAAATACCTTTTTTATACTTTTCTACTACTGTGTGCACTAATAATTGAAAAATAACAACTTGAAAAAAATTAATAAAATCGTCTTCAAAAAAAAACTTTAAAAAGTGAAAAAAAGTGTTACTCTTTAGTATTTTTTTTTTGAAATCCGTAACTTACTGTGCTTTTTTTAATTTAGTAGCTATTTACCAACTTTAGTGCTATCATAAAAAAAATTAGGAAAAAAATTTTTTTTTACATTCTAATATATTTTTCTCAAATTCTCATTAATAATTTGGTCAAATATTGAAACTTAGGTGAATGCTAGTTTTATTAATTATAGCACAAGTCCTATAGAAATGTTGTAGTTCAAAACTGAAGTGCAAAAGTTACGAGCACTGAAAACAAACTAAACTGAAATTAGTGACTATTGTACGTCGAAGTTTGCTTTAGTAAAGTTTGGCTCGTGCCGTTTATGGTACCTGCGAGTTATATGGATTGTGTTCACCTTTTGGTAGTTTATTCTTTTTACTATAGGTAGAATCTTTTCCCGAAAGTAATAAAAATATGAAATTTAAAACATATTTTATTTTAGTTATAGTAGATTTAAAAAATGAAATATTTGTTTAGCTTATTTTGTTAAAGTTTTGATAATATTTCCGTTTTACGTAGTTATGGACAAGCAGCAAAATTCTTAATAAACATAAAATTGTAACTAAAAAACCACTGGAGAGATTTTGATGAAATTTGGTTTAATGATAGTTGATTATCCGGGTTACGGACAAAAATATAGGATACTTTTAACTGCGGGAAAATATGTCATCTCTGAGAAATCTATATTAAAGTTTAAACGTAAGTAGGGGCGAACCTGAGCTGAGAAAGTGTCGCTAGTTTTAATATAAAGATAATGTCTTTATGTAAGTTTAGTAATGAAACAATCTAATCTAATCTATGATAAACTATTTTAAATTAAGTTTTATTTAAGCCTTTTCGGTTGTTCTCGTGGTTTTACTTAGACTTTTTATGTTTTGACGTTTAGAATGTTTTGAACAAATATGTTTACAGAAGTGACTAGATAAGATTAAATCAATCAAAACGTTGGGGGCTGAAAATCAAAAAGTTAAAATACAACCGCAAGGAAATCCGAAAAGGTAGTTTTATTTAAAATTTTCAATGTTTGCTGTATGTAATGGAAATCTAAAGAAGTATTAAGATATATCATTAAAAGTTATTTTACACTGAACCACCTAAACCCACCGTCAAAACCTATAATCACGAAAGGTTATTTTTAGAAACAAAACAATTTCCTAACGTTTTGCAGAAATGTCGTTTCCAATCACAGCGGCGAGAAAATAGAGTTTGAAAACTTTTACACGAAGGAAAACGCGATCTTATTTCTGCTACCAATTGAAAATTTCTTCAGCGGATATTGTGGATAATTTTTTTTTTTTTCACAATTTTGATGAACTGTCAGAAATTACTCTGTAACTTGTATTCGCGTTGCAGTTAAAATAAGTTTCTGTCAGATTATTATATACCTGTCATGAAACTCTTAATTGCTTTCTTTATTAATTACTAGCATTGCCCGCGGCTCCGCCCGCGTTCAGATGACCAAAAACCTAATTCTTAGTTTTTACATATTAGTATACTCTTACAATGCAGTTTTTGTGTTTTTGTATTTTTTCTCAGAAATGAGATATTTTCCCGCGGTAAAAAGTAGCCTATATGTTGACCCGGATAACCAGCTATCATCATACCAAATTTTATCAAAATCTGTCCAGTGGTTTTCTCGTGATGCGGTAACAGACAGACAGACAGACAGAAAGACAGACAGACAGACAAAAATTCTAAAAAATATAGATTCGGACTCTGTATCGATAATAATGTCTATTTCAATTAGATTTCCCAAAAAATATTTAATGTACAGATTTGACTTAAAATATTATTATATGTATAGATTTGTAAATAGCAATTTCACCTCAAATTAGTAACTTTTACGTCAATTTCAAGGATTTCTGCCCCGAATTATAAAAATTCTGGCAGGATAGAGTTAGATTTATATTATTTACGAAAGACAGAATGGGGTTTTATTTTTTCATAAGAAAAATAGTCTGAAGCTACATTAAAGGAAAGGCCATATATTATTTAGGCAAAATACATTATTTAGATCACCTAAGCTGTTATCTTCTAGGTAAAAGTATAACCCGTCAAAATATTCCAAGCAAAAATATGATAATATGTAAAAAAAAACAATCATAAATATTATAATCAGTAGTATTTTCACCCAGTTTTCGCGTTCCACTTGCGTATAATAAATCCCTTATCAACTACGCGAGTCCGACGTAAACAAGTGCTTTCTAGTTGGTCTTATCGAACTAATAGCCTTAGAACTGGGACAACAAATCTTAACACTTGAATAAGGAATAAATCTCGGATTCGATTGGTTTGCAAAATAAATTTTAGACAAGACAGGCGTGGTTCAGATGGAAGATATATAAATAACTGTAGACCCTAATAATTCAAATGGAGTAAGGTCTGTTGGTGACTTTGAAGTCATAAGTTTTAACCTAACAACAAGTTTGCAGTTTCACGTTCAGAAGTAAAATTGAATAAAACGATGCTTATAAATTTACAAGGTTCATCTCGGTCTCTATTGGTTTGTAAAAATAGTATATCTATCAAACGTCTACCTTAATTTTAAAGCTTTATAAACTATCGGGATAGGCGCTTTTGTGAACTTAATTTGTTTTTACCTCATAGCATAATTACCTTAGTAATTTTACTACAGAATCATTTAGCGGTTCACGTAACACATATATGTTCCCAGTTATATAACTCCAAAAGTTTCCCTGTAAAATGGTTTTGTCATACTAACTGACGTTTAACGACACATGGACAGGAAGACATGACGAAATTATAGTATATTGAGTTCCATTTTGGCCTTTAAGGAACATAAAAAATTGTGGCATATTGAACCGATTTATATTCATCGCGGGCGGGTATATCTTACTAGCTGTACCCGCCCGCAGCTTCGCTCGCGCTAGAACTGCAAAAAACATCTAAAAAAAAAAGTTTTCATACAAACTTTCATCCCCTTTTATACCCCTTTGTGGGACGAATTTCGAAAAATGCTGAAACACGTACTTATTTAATTGTATTGTAGTGCATTAATACCAAGTTTCAATTAATTCTGATCATAAACAATTTTTTAGGTTGTATTATAACGTGTTTTCCCGTGGTAATGAGATAATTTCCCGCGGTAAAAAGTACCCTATGTCACTCTCCAGCCCACCAACTATCTCCACACAAAAAATCACGGCGATACATCACTCCGTTTTGATGTGAAAGAAAGGACAAACGAACAAACAAATACACTTTCACATTTATAACATAAGTATGGATTGATCATTTTATTTGATGTTTTTTATCAGATTAAAACTATAAAATTATTTTATTGTTATTTATTACTCAATAAACGAGTATTTCCTTGTACGTAACTATAAATATAAATTGAATAGAAAAAAAAATATTTATTCATAGGATATTAAGTTAATAAAGCAAATAAAATATATATTATACAGCATTAAAGTAATATATTATATACGTATATTCTTTGTTATTAGGTGTTTCTGAGGAAGTTCCTAACTACGAGTACTAAGATTTAGTGCTTTAAAAGTCATTTTAGCATAAGCTTTATCTCTATTGAAATAAATTAGTCCTGATTCGTAACATTTTGTAATAACTCAGATAACTTATCGTGTAAGTAATTTGCGTTGGCTACCGTATAACTTGTTCTACAATATGGGAGCTTAAGAAAATGCACACGATTGATAGTGAATAGCAAGAATATTTAATTATTATTGAAGCTTTAATTTATTATGTGATTATAAAAAATTTATATTATAAATAATGTTCTAAAATTTTAGTTTTATTTTATTATATCATTCGGCAATAATTTAGGTCTGTATTAGTAGAAAAATTTTCAGAATCAGTTCAGTAGTTTCGATGATTAGCCTCTACATACAAACTTACAAGTTATACCTCTTTATAATATAAGTGTAGATAATATATTATATTAAATTAATTTATATATTATTGTATTTTATAACATATTTGATATACCGATGTCGTGGATAAAACTTAGTCTGTGACTTTGCTTGGACGGAATTTGTTTCGAAAAATAGATATTTTCCCACGAGAACTGCTTGTTCGATCTGAATATCAAGTAGCGTGTATCTTTAGGTCACAAACTATATGTGTGCTAAACACTTACATTTAATGTGTATCGAGCAAATACGCACATTATCTATACATATAATAAAATTCTAACTGAATCGATTCTGTGCACTAAATATTTTTTGGAAAATTTTATTGAAATAGTCATTATTATCAACGCAGAGACTGAATCTATAGTTTTTAGAATTTTTGTCTGTCTGTCTGTGATCGCATCAAGAGAAACCCATTGGATAGGTTTTGATCAAATTTGGTATGATGATAACTGGTTATCTGGATCTACGTATAGAATACATCGAATATATATCTCATCTCTATCTCATCTAATGCTGGAAGATATCTCATCTCTGAGAAATCTATACTAAAAGTTTAAAGGTAATTAGGGACAAGCTCCCGAGCCCGACCGAAGCGAAAGTGAGTCGCTGGTTATAAGTCCATATTTTTGATTACGATAGTCAGAATATCATATTATGTCTATTTTATGTAAAAAATATACGCAAATGCATTGCTTTGTAAATATATTTATTTATCATAATTGTTAATTTTTCTCAAAACCTGAACAAAATATTTAAAAGCAAACGAAAAATATATTAAGATATTCTATATTATATACATGTAAATTCAATAAAAATGTACACTCCATATTATGTTTAATTAAATCTATTTTAAAAGACTTTCAAAATTTTAATCTGACACTGACATGTTTAATATGACTGGCTTATTTTATAATCTTTCTTCGTTTCTCATTTTAATTAGAAGTTGAAAGTAATTTTTTTTCTCATAAATAATAGGAGAAAGTGTTATATCATAGTGATTAAGATTAATAATATATAAAGTATAACAATATATTATTAAAAGAAAAAGTGAATTTGAAAGCATAGTTTTATAAACTGTATTTTAGCACCTAACGACTCACCCTCGCTTCCTTCGGGTGAATTCCTTTATAAGATCCAACCTACATATATTAATCTGTAGTCTTAGATCTGAAAATCGGACAAGTGCGAGTCGGATTTGCAGACGCTAGTAGTGGGTTCCGTTTTATGAAACATTAAAGTTTATAATCGCAAATTTTATTTTTGTGACGTACTCGTATATACGTTATAAATTTAAAGTTTTCGGATTTTCCCTTTACTCATACTATGATATGACAGTGCTTCTTACCAAATATCATGATTCTACGTTAACGAGAAGTATCCTATAGGTTTGGATTCCCTTGAGTTCGAAGTTTGATTTTTTCGCAGCTCCAATCTAATACTAGGGTATTTGATATTAATTTCAACATGATACCTTCATGCATTCCTGAGAAAAAGGGCTTTGACAGACAGAGAGATAGACAACGAAGTCATCTTATAAGGTCTCCTTTTTCATTTTGAGAACGGAATCCTAAAAAAACGATCCACGGCATGTTTTAGTCAATTGGACCCAGTTATGCAAAAAACAGCCATGTGCGTAAAAGTACCAACAGAGTTATAAGCATTTTTCTGTCGATAGTTGCACTTGGGTTATGTTTTGTTTTTCTGGTTATTTTAAAATTGAACAATATTTATATAAGTATTGTTTACTTTTTATAATTATTTTATTTTTTATAATAAAATGCTTATAACTCTGTTGGTATTTTTACGCACATGGCTGTTTTTTTGCAAAACTGGGTCCAATTTTATGACTAAAACTAGCTTCAATATTATCTTAGGTCATATAAACTTTAGCATTTATAATAATAGTTAATTTAACCATTTTCTTTGTTTCCAGGTGTGGTTGTGATGTCATGGTGGTGGGCAGTCGCGTTGCTCGCGCTTCAGGCGCCCGCTCGCGCCTCGCCCCGGGCTGGCTCCGGTGAGCTATTTTACAGTAAGCATTCTTGCACTTTCAATTTCGTTTTCGTGCACAATGCACTGTCTTCATATTGTTCTCTGTTGGGAATCTATGAAGGAATACTTATTATTTATAAGTCTAATTGGTATTTTTAGGCTTAAAAATTCTTAATCACAATCTTTCTATCATTATAAGTATTTTTCTCAGACTAAACGATTATATAGTCAGATTCCGCCAAAAAAAGTCTAAGTCAAAAATAGCGTGGTTTTGCTGTTTATGTTACCATTACCGATTTTGCATTACATAACGTTTAGTTTATTTAAAGAATAAGGGAAATTTAAAATGAGTATGTATTAGTACTTAAATTACAATTTTTGAAAAAGAAAACTAATGAATGCCAAATATAATATTGCCGATATCCTTTTGTATTTTTAAGCGTTAGTTCTCTTCCCCTTGATATTACCCTATTTAAGTTTTTTCTTTATTATAGTAATATCCGTTAAATATTTTAATTTATTTGTATACTGTTTTAAAACATAATATTAATATATTATTTTAAAATGTTATTATTTGGCTTTATGTTTAGTTCTACGACATTCTGTCTATTTACTCCGTAGTTTGAGCTATTCTTGTGTATTGCCTTTGAATTATATTCGATTGTACATAACACAAAGAGATATTTTATTGTAGTAAGATAGCATAACTTATGATATTTACCACCTCTAGTAATGATTTCTGTGACCTCTAATTAAAAGTTCGGTGTATCGCCGTAGCGGTACATAAAATGTAAATTATTAAATAAAAACTATATCCAATATAAATCTGTTCGCGTATTATGTTCATGCTTCATATAATCTGACGTCCCGACATACGGAGATGTGAGCGAAAGTGTAAGTATGACAACCCGTGGTCGGTTGAGCGACGAAAGATCGACGAAATTATTCAAAACGAAAGTGAAGTGAATTTGTCCGTCGTATTCGTGTAATCCATACATAACTACTTGTTCTGCTTGTACAACGTGAATTTGAATTTTTTTTTGTTTTTTTTTTAATTTAATATATATAGGTACGTACCTAAATTAAAAGTAATGATTTTAAAAAGTATTTATTGTTTAATACTTTCTTAGATTTACGCGAATATTTGACATTTTTTTAAAAAACTTTCGGATATTTCCGATTTTTTCCGCGGATTTATTTTGATTTTTGGTTCAAAAGATTTTTGGTTGGAAGGAACCAAAAATCAAAATAAATCCGCGAAAAAATACGAAAAGATAGTTTTATTTAATGTTTTTATTGTTCTTATAAAATATAAAAAACTGATTTTTACTTAAGTATAGGTATACTTACTATAATATATACTACGAGTATATATATTTGTGTAACCGATATTATTTTACAATTTTATGATTTTTTTACACTAGAGATACGTATATATAATATATGTATATTAATGGTTTGGCTTAAAAACAGCATGGAAGAAAATAAATTCCGACTTGATCTCTTTCTTCAATACGCTGCCATATAAAGCGGGGTCATTTTATTTGGTCGTAAAAAATCACATTACAAAAATATAGTTTTACCGCATGTATAGGAATTCAAATAAAAAAAAAGTAAACAGCACTTTGTTTTACTAAATCGTTGAAATGAACAGAATCCTGACAATATTGTTATATATATATATATATATATATATATATATATATATATATATATATGTATATATATATATATATGTATATATATATATATATATATATCACTGCTTATCTACGATTAGCACCATTTACCGCTTTAGATTTCTTATCACGTACTATCGATTCCACTTAACCAGGTTTATATAGTTGTAGATAAGTTATTCAACTGATCCCGCGTTGCAACATTGCAAAGATGCACTTTCTTTTATTTTACATCCGAGCAGCTTTCGAGTTTGCATAATGGCAATTTTATTTGCAATCGGGAATGTTAAGTATTTTACTTTTTTTGATACATAGGGCTTATCATAATATACTGCCTCGGTGGTGTAGTGGCTAGCATGTACGGCTGCACACTCGGAGGTCCTGGGTTCGAGTCCCGGGTCGGGCCACGTTTAGTTATTGAGTCCTTCTGTATAGTAAGTCTCAGTAACAACCCGGAGTTGAAGTTGGCGGTGTTTCACCCCCGTGCCTCGGAGAGCACGTAAAGCCGTCGGTCCTGCGCCTTAACTCTCACTGGTCGTGTCGAGCAGTCGTCCCACCGGAGTATGAGAGTGACAGGAATAGAGAGTGCACTTGTGTCTGCGCGCAGTTGCCTAGTCTCGATGAGATTGGCCGCCGTGGCCGGAATCGGTCAGGAGAACATCATCATCATAATATATCAGGTTACAATGACGTGTAAGGGAAACAAGTAATTCGAAAATTTTCTGTTATTTTTAATTACCTTTCTTATGTCTTATCTTATCAGTAGGTACCTTGTAGCAATTCTTGTATATATATATACATATATATATATATATATATATACTACACATTTAACTATAATATTATTAATAAATATGTTGAGATATTAGCACGCAATACCATCTAGTTCCATGTGTGTGAGCTTGTGTTATAGACACTAAATAGTTGATATACTACACTAGTACACATATGTATATAACTTTAAATACATACATATTATAAATATAAATACCCATGACTAGAGTACAAACATTCGTGCTTATCACACGAAGGATTGCCCCCAGTGGGACTCGAAGCCGCAACCGCTGGCACAGCAAGTAGGGTCACTACAAACTGAGTCAAACTGCTTCAAAAGGGGTATGAAAATATGGATTTTTTTGGTCCGTATTAGAGGACAAGCTGTTATAAGAATTGCGGAGCAACAAAAAGCTCCCACGGTATTTAGGATGGAACAGAAATAGATTGTTTTTAAAAAAATTTATACATATTTCGGCTACTTTATTTTATGAATTTAAATATTTTTGGTATTTTTTACTTACTCTTTGGTGGATCTATTTGATCTTTTTATCCATAAGGGTTTTATTATGAATTTTAAAATATGAAAATTATTTATATATTATTTTTTATATATGTAAGATACCCTTGACATATTACCTAAACATTATAAAAAGAACATGAAAAAATGGCTTCAATTGGCGAAGTTAACATACTTAATTGAGTAGGTACATCCCCTTATATGAAGTTGGTTAATAACCACAATCAATATGAACAAGTTATTTTGAAATAACAAACATTTTAATTAGATTTATAATTATCTATAGATTACAAATAGTAAAGCTCAGTCGCTAACAAAAAAAGCTCAACTAATGGTAGAGGAAAACTTTCATAAATAATCTATACTGTAAGACCTTTATACAGCTTTCGTCAAATATGTCACAACCTGTACAGGATGAATACATGCTAATTTTATTATATTCCATCGTAAACCTGAATTCGCTTTGTTTACGATTTGCGGTGCATTAGAAAGCGTTAAAGAAGTTTACAGCATATTAACACATAACAATTTAGTTAAATTTTAAAACCTAGTAATATGTATAATAGCATTTGAAATTAATACGATAACTTTAATATATCGGTGTCATATTTAATAAAATATTAATTTTTACTATAAATTTTATTGACCGATTAAATTATTCAAATTATTTATTTATTCAAAGTTCCTTTGCTAGACAAAGGCTTCCCTTCAATACGAAGGGGATCAGGTGATAGTCCAACATGACAGCTAAGGGTTGGTGGACTTCACATATCTTCCGATAAATAGTTAGGTTCTCTCAAACAGACATGTTTTCTCACATTGTTTTCTTTCACCGCAAGATAAATGGTTATATTGAAAATGGTTCACACATGAAAATATCAGAAGCCAGGCCCGGATTTGAATTCGAAGCATTTGATTTTCTAAGCACGCGTGAATTTTTCTAGAGGTACTTACAAAATACGTAGATTTTTCATATATCATTTTGCCTTTAGGCAATTCAATTGCCCCCTGAATTTAAATTTTCATTCCTAAGCTCAGGTATATACAAAACTAGAAAACTATAATTACAAAAAAAAATATAATTTTTGTCTATTTGTTAAATGCCTCGGTCTAGGACCTAACATGTAATGTAGAAACATAATTATTGTATAGAAGCGCGTAGAACTTATTAAAATCGATTCAACTAAATCAAAAAAGTCAAATCGTATCTTCTCAGTTACTTCCTACAATACACATCTAAATATTTTTTTCACAATTTCAAGAACAATTTCTGCTAGTATTTAGTAAACTTTATATAGTTTTACTAGCAGAATTCGCGGCTACGCCCGCATTCAATCTACAAAAAAAATCTCTTCGGCTTTATGTTATACAGTATTACTATGTTTTTATGTTTGTTATATTGTTCATACAAAAATACTAAAATTGTGATTAAAAATGAGGGGGTGGGGGTAGGAGGGTGAAAAATACTTTACGACCTATTCTCATACCCACCAAATATACAAAAAAAAACATTAAAATCGATCGAGCCGTTTCAGAGAAGTGCGACCACAAACACCGTGACACGAGATATTTATATATAAAATCATTTTATGGACCTTGTTTATCATACAAGGGTTCTAAGGGCCTTTTTTTTTTTTTTAACGTTGGGAAATGCATTTACGCACGACGTGTGGTGTGCGTTTCTTAGCTTCGCTACTACTACTGAGCCCCCCCCACCACGACAAGGTGAACGCACGTTGGGGGGGAAGGGTTCTAAGGGCCTAGAAACCTTAGAGAAAATTTAATGGTAATTTATTATGTTATTTATACGGGAACAAGCTACGTGAAATGAAAATTCCACCAATAATCTTCTTTAGAACATTATTGTGGACAAACAGACTGACATAATAACACTTATATCAATAAAGAATTTAAAAGCCTAACTTCATGTTAATAAAAATATATGCATAGGTACTATATTGTAATTGAAAATATTATACATATTATGTTTATTCATTTCGACAGTTGCAAGGAACAATAATGTAACTCGATTTTGAGATAGTTTAAATAAGAAAACAATTTTCTCAAACATTTTAGATCACATTTGTTTTAATACTGAGTTACAACTTTGTTCTTTGTTTGTATTTGTTTGTTATACGTCATCAAGCAAACAAAAATTTTATTTCATATGAAATATTCACAATTACTTTCTCTTAACTACCATCGTAATTATATACTCCACTGTCTGCTCTATAAAAGGGCAATTACGCTTTTACTTTTTAAAATACGCGACCAAGGTAATAAACGTTTTATTAGAGCTTTAAATCGATTTCACTTTCCTACAAAATGTGTGTATGAGTTAATGAGCATAATGTGAATGGTAATAATGAATTTAACAAATTTTAATAATTTTTAAATAAAGACTGTCAGTCAGTCAGTCTCTCCCGTGACCATGATTGTTGTAAAGCATTCGAAACGTCGGGAACCAAAAATCAAAATAAATTCGCGAAATAATCCGAAAAGATAGTTTTATTTAAAAATGTCAAACATTCGCGTAAATCTAAGAAAGTATTATATGAAATTTTAATAATTTTAAATAAAACTATCTTTTTTTTTATTATTTTTATATACATAACTTTTAAATATAGAGAGAAGAAAAATTTGAAATTAAAATTAACAAGTATTGTAAGGTTTTTATTTATTTAAATTTATTGTATAACTTTGTGGGCAAAAGCCGTCTGTAAAACTATATAATAAATTTTCCTAGCTTTAAGCTTTAAGTTTTAGAGATGTCTAAAACCTTAGTCTAGGGTCAATGGTTTAGGAACACATAGAGGACAAACATATGCACAATTACTTTTATTTGTATATAAAAAGTATATATATACGTATATATAACGTTTTATTAGAAAACTAGACGCACAAAATACTCTTACATTACTAGGTTTTACATTTATAGTCCCATAAAATCTGTTAATGGCTCGCAAATTTCTTCAATTTTACGACTCTATTTTTTATACACAGCACACTCAATCGACGCTCGTATAAAATCTAAGCAAATATAAAACAAAAATTAATGACAAATAAAAAAATAAGTAGCACGTGTTTTACGATGTGTTAAATTTTGTGCTTTAAGTGGATTGTTATTTTAGAGCTTATAAAACTTCTTTTTCCTCAACTCCTTACGTGGTGTTTTACTGTTGTGTTTAAATTGTATTCGTTTTAAATGAACAGTTGTTGGTTTGACCTATTTAAAATATTAGCTATCATATAATTAACTTTGTTTGTTTTTAAGCATTTGTGTTAAATTATAAAAAAAAAAAATTTTTGACGAAAAAATTCGAAGGAAGAAAAGAAAATGATACCAGCTCTTTTTTTTTCTAATTAATTAAAATTCATAGAATAGTATACTGCGGCACTAATACAATAACAGGGCAGTGGTAGCCTAGTGGTAACGCGCTCGCTTTTCATTAATGCCGTGTTTTGGTGGTTTAAATAAAAAACAATATTTGGTACTTTAATTTTATATAATTAGTAAGTATGTAATTTAAAAATGAAACGATCATCGCCAACATGATTGCCACTAGCCTTACGGTGAAGGAAAACATCGTGAGGAAACCTGCATGTCTGAGAGAACCTAGCAAGTTTTCGAAAAGTCCACCAACCCACACTTGGCCAGCGTGGTGGACTAACACCTGATCCCCCTCGTATTGAAGGGCGGCCCGTGCCCAGCAGTGGGACGTTAAATAACCTGAACACAATAGTATACTGAATCGTATGTACCGCCTCCCTTCGAATATCATACAAATATTACAATAAACATATAACGACATTCACTGATATGTGTATGATAAGTATTCACAGTATTGATCAAAGACAAAATGTAAGGAATTAGACGAGCAAGGGACTATGTATACTAATATTATAAAGAGGTAATGTTTGTGACGTTGTAGGGGGTAATCTCTGGATCTACTGAACCAATTTAGATGAAGTTTGGTAAAAAGATAGTTTGAAACCCTGGGATGGACATAGGATACTTTATATCCCTGAAATCATCCCTTAAGGGGGTGAAAATGGGGACAAAAGTTTGTATGGGGAATCAAGCTAGGGACGAACCCAAGCGAAGCGAGGGTGAGTCGCTAGTATCATATAATATTGGAGTATAAAATTATATATATTATTTTCTTAACTAAACACCATGATAGCATCAAGTGATAACTGAGTCTT